TACTCACTGCCATAGTAAGATGGTAAAATGAACCACTGTTCATCGTCATTAGCTTGAAATTGGCGGAGTGGAATCAAACGAATTCGTCATTATTTGCCAGTTATTATGGCCAGTATTGATTTTCATAATTTGACACAACCCGTTTTGCTCCACTTCCATTATTTATTAATTTTATTTTTCTGAAATCACTGATTTCGAATAATTTCATTAATTCGAAATCATCAAATCACCTCCCGGGACGCTCGAAATCACCGAAATCATTTTATCCGAAATCACTGAAATCACCCGAAATCAATCTAATTTCGAAATCATGGTGTCACTCAATTATGGAGTGAGTAGCCCCTCGGGAATTTCATAAACTCACATATTTGTCTCAATGAAAATGCTCTCTTACATTAAATAAATAATTCATTAGTTCCAAATAAATCTGTTCACTCGCGTGATTAAACAGAGTGAAACAGAATGACGTGGATGAATAATGATGAGAAAAAAATGTGATAACAGAAACTGTCATTCTGTCGGCCACCCAATATATAATATTCAAAAAGTTTCCTAAACCGAAATGGGGAAGTTCTCATTTCAGTGCGAGAGAAATCCGGGATTTCCCCTGGTGCTGGGAGTTGGGTGGGCTCCAGATTCAGTAGCCCAGAGGCTGAAGTTATGATCGAGCTGTCGACGTCGGGACTAGGGGAAATGAATAACGACAATGGACCCCAACCCAAACTTGCCAACGACGGGTGAGACGCACTCCTGCTAGACACACACTCAGTCGCACTGTGATTTCGCTTCGGTTGTGCTCCGCAGTGAAACAGCACTAAAAGTTATTTTCGAAATGAACGGAAATTATTATAACTATACGATTATTCGACAATATATTCCATAGACAATTTCTATGCGAGGACATTTTTTTTTCTTCAATTTTACAGAAAACTCATGGCTGAAATCGGTTCTAGGATAAATTTTGCTGGACAAAAACGTTTCTCAAGAATATAAATATAGCAAGAAAATGAAAAAATAGTCTCAAAGTAAAACATACAATTTTGGACTTTATTTTATGTACCCCACTATGCCCCGGCCACCCCGCTCTGCCCCGGTCACCCCTAATTTATTAGTCCATTAGCTATTCGAATGAATTCACCCATTTGCTTCAAATAAACAATTGCTCTGCCGGATGTAAATTTGCTTTGAGTTAACAATATTTCGATTCAATTACCAAAAGTTAATGAAAAAGGGCCAAATAGAATGAAAAATCCATTTGATGGTACATGGAGACTGTTGCTGGGAATATCCAGCATCTGGTGCAGCATCGATTATCAATGGTCCTCCAGGGAATTTCCCCGGCGGTGAGGACTCTCGCATGGAATTGGCTTCGATTAACGGGGAATAATTAAATGCGAATTCAGCTCACGAGCGCCCTAGACTTTCAGTCCACCCAGTTTATTGGGCTTGTGGTGGTGGATTGGAGCGGAGTTGGTGGGTGACAAGGACAGATTACGGAGAAATGATACTGGGTATTGCGTGGTTCATTGTGTTAATCCACATGATCGTGAACGCGTTCAACGACAATGATCGTGGAGCAAGCGGCAAACGATTGGCCGGCACTCCACTTGATGGGAATAACGAGCCTCTTCCGCCGACAATTGCAACCGTTCAACTGCGATTTGTATATAGTTAGGACGATTGCAGCTTGAAAGGGGGGGGGAGAAGAAATATATCGCCCGCATCTTATTGTTCCATCCGTGGGAGCAAGAGCGGCATTTCAGGTGGATTATTTTATATTTATTTTAATTCTGCACTGAGAGAAAACAAGTTTTTTTCAGGAGGACGTCTTTACTATCAAGAAATTTCTGACTCGAAAATTGACAAGAAGAAAATATCTCGTGCTGATAAAGGAAACCTTTCGTCAAGAGATTTTGCCCTTGTCCAAAAGACGAGGGGCAATTTGTTGACAAGAAAGCGACTGCTCGAACCAAGTCAAGTGGCTTTTGCATTGAAATATTTTGGCTTTGAGGCTTGACAACCTTTTACTAAATTGATTCAACTAGACTCGGTTTAAGAAATCACTTTCTTGTCATGAACAGATTGTCCTGGTCGTCGGGACAAGTACAAAATCTCTTGACGATAGTTTTTCCTTTCTCAGTGTAAGATGTTTTCTTGTCAATTTTCGAGCCGTGAGTTTCTTGATACAAAGTTGATTAGAATTAATAGCGAGAATTATGAGATTACCTCATATTTTTGAAGTTAAGGACAGAGTAAAAACAATAATACGAAACACTACAAAAACAATAATATTAATATCCAAATACAAAATTTCTGATAAGAATAAAAAGAAGCTAAGACTCACTATTCAAAATTGAGTTTTAATTCTCAATTTCATGCTGAAAATACGAGATGATAATATTTTAAGCACAGAATTATTTTGATGTGATGAACGACAGATTAGTTGAATTACCGTGTGAACTAACTAAAAATTAATAACTGTGTTGGCACGCACTTTTATCAGAATATCACCAAACATTAAATTCTAGAAATTCACACCCTAAAGTGTATTCTTGGAGGAATTGAATAAAATTATGATTAAAATCTTATTCAGTGAGCATAAGAATTAGAACAGGAGTAAATCATTTATTGTAATATAGAAATTTAACAGCTGATAAATTGGGACATATGATTCCCATCAATCGCATTGCGTTTGTAATGTGAATGATTGTAAATAATTAACCCTCCTAAACTGGCTCAATGAGCAAAGCGAACCCGGATTTAATATAGGCCCATAGAATTAAGGGGACCGGCAAGGATTTGGAAAGTTTGAATACAAATCCTGCCTACACCTAACGAGTGCTGAAATGGGACATAACCAGAGGTAGAAAGGTCTCGGAAGCACTTGGGAAGAGACTTCCCAAGACCTATCCAGTTCCGAAGGGAAAGACCTAAGTAGAACTTGTCCAATTATTCGACTCGGATTTCCCTTGCTATCCTCTTTATTTATGAAAAACAACTGCATAAGAACGATTCGCTCCCAAACAATGAGAAATTCTCCAAGGAGTAACAACACCATTCCCAATTGCAAAAACAACATTCTTCACCCCAAGAAAACCTATTGATTCCCTTCCCTCCGACATACATGACCTTGTCACCCCTCCCTCATCCCCGGCATCTATCAATGCATCACATCAAGATACAACACAAGTCCTACGAAACCGAAAAGGGGACGAGAAAGAGGTAGCACCAAGCTGTGATATTCCCCTCACGTAGTATCCGTTCCGCGTCGTTAATAACATCACGCCCGCCCATGGGCTGCCACCTGAGAGTCTTTGCGTACCCACTGGACGGCTACCTTACCCATCGCAATATCACCCGGAGCAATTCTGCATCCCATTATTGCACTAGAAACCGAATTCCACGGTGATAACGGACAGAGGAAATCGATGCAACAGTGGTTGACTAGCGAAAAAAACTCGGTAAAGTAATGCTGGAATAGTCAGAATAGAAAGGCTGAATCATGGCCTCAGCGGCGATATCCCATTTCTGTAATTTGAGCGCGTTACCCGTCAAATCCATTCTATCATGTTCTCTGCTAAAAAAAACAGAAAAAGCAATTAAAAGGAAAAAATACTGACATTTAGTTTACCACACAGAGAGGAAAATTGAGGGAAAATTATTTAGAACATTACGGCAAATTTTGCAATCCGAAATGTAACTCAATGAAAAATCCTGTGGCCAAGAGGTGCAGGAGCAAAAATTACGGATTTGATTACATTATTAATTAAATTAATCTTCATAAAATTATAGCTGCACTGAAATTTTCAGAAATTTCCTCATTCAAAATCGAAATTTTATGAAGAAATCAATGGAAACAGTAAATTATGGTTCAATAAGTTCATGAAAATTAAGGAAAATCTGTAAAATTTTAGTAAACATATTCTTGAACTTTTAATTAATCGTAAATTCAGCGAAATTTGGGGCTGAATATTCACGTTTAAAATTTAAATAAACCAGAACAGGCCGCGCGTATTGTTTTCCATGGGTGCCAGAATAGTAATAGTAAATTTTATGTCAATAATAATGCAGGAAAAATGAATAGTTTCAACAGAGTTTTTCACAATGAGAATTTAATCATTGAATAATTTATTCGGAATTGTCATAATCCTTTTCATTTTCTTCCTCGTTTCTCTTTCGCTTTTTGCGTTCTTCTTTATTTCGAGTGATGCATTAAGTACATATATACTAATGTAAACATATTTTATTTATTTCAGTAAGAAATGAATTTCTCTTTTTTTACAATTACTGTAAACGAAAGATTATACAGTACATAAAAAAATATATATAGACATCATATTCCATTACTCAATAAGCGGAATAGAGGCTTCAAAAATCGTTACACTGTATTTTTTAAAAGTAGATTATGAGAAATTTAGTTTTCCTGTCGTTTAAGAATGTGAAATTTTATAGAGTTTCCATCCACCTATGAAATTCCACCCCGCGTTTCCCCCAAAATCAAATTCAATGTGACTCTCCCAAAAATGACTAGTGAGCAATCCATGAAATGTCAATTTTTTCCATCAATACAGATTAAAAAAAGCCTACAGTGGATTTTCGCCCCATGATGACTCGGAAATTCTACCCCAACATATTTCTCCATCCCCCATAAACCGATCGCTCAAAAATGTCCGACGCCTGGCAATAATTCGCCGACGAAGTCTGGCAATAATCCGATAGGTATGCAGGCCAAATAAAAGATGCCGCGAAAAGGAAAAAAATCCGCGAGCAATCGGTGGGAAAGGAAGCGCGTGGTAATACGCAGTGTATCGCGGTGCAAGTAACGCTGGTCGTTGATCGAGTGCGTGGCCGCTAGCGCGTCGCAAGATCCCATCCAAGAGACGTGCGCCGACGCTTACCCTACCACTGGCCCACCAACCGCCACCAACACACAAGTACAGTACGATAACCACCTCCACCTCCTCCTTCGCTTTTCAGTCGACCCCGTGCATCGCGGTATGCCGGCCGCAACGAGCCACATCGTCGCGCCTCCGCGTGAATCTGTCAATTGGCCGTCAGGATCAGTCAATCACTGAGCAAATCGCAAGTCCCCAATTAATCCCAAAAAATTGCCAATAAAAATCAAAGTGACTAAACCCACTTGACTAATCAGTCTACCCCACAAACCACTAGACTCCCCGATAAATCCCCCGATGTAAAGGTGCAATGACCCACTGTGCAGTGAGTGTGCGATGCCTACAGTGTGTTTCCACTTGATTAAGCACCAGTGAGTTAGGAAATCGACTAAATCTAAATAATCTCCAACCAAACAGCCCCGCGCATTTGACTGCGTTTCGATTTAACTTGTTGAGTGTCGGTGCATTGAAGCCCATGAAAATGCATCAAAACCCCAGTATGATTATTACCCTGATAATCCTGACCCTCGGTACAGTGGAAATGCGGGACATGAGAGAAGTGCGGAATGATCCATTGATCGTTGAAACAACGACTGGCCTTGTGCGTGGACTATCGCGATCAGTGCTCGATCACGAGGTGCACGTTTACCTGGGTATACCATTTGCAAAGCCACCAATTGGTCCACTCAGATTCCGCAAACCATTTCCCATTGATCCGTGGCACGGTGTTCTCAATGCAACTAGCCAGCCAAACAGCTGTTTTCAAGAGCGTTATGAGTACTTTCCCGGTTTTGCGGGTGAAGAGATGTGGAATCCAAATACCAATGTCTCGGAGGATTGCCTTTACCTGAATATCTGGGTGCCCCAGAAGCTCAGGCTCAGGCACAAAGAGGCACCTGGCGGTGCTGGGGTGGAGAAAAAAGGAATGCCACTGCTCGTTTGGATTTACGGTGGTGGTTATATGAGTGGTACAGCGACACTGGACGTTTATGATGCTAATTTTATGGCTGCAAGCAGCAATGTTATCATAGCATCGATGCAGTACAGAGTTGGAGCTTTTGGCTTTCTTTATTTGAATAAACATTTTGGTAATAGTGAGGAGGCACCTGGGAATATGGGACTGTGGGATCAGGCGATGGCGTTGAAGTGGCTCAAGGACAATGCCAAGGCTTTTGGTGGTGATCCTGATGCTATAACGATCTTCGGTGAATCGGCTGGTGGTGGATCGGTATCGCTGCATCTGCTTTCCCCGGTGACGAGGGGTCTCGTACGACGGGGTATACTGCAGAGTGGAACACTCAATGCTCCTTGGAGCTTCATGACTGGGGAGAAGGCTAATGAGGTGGCTAGGGTGCTGGTTGATGATTGTGGGTGTAATTCAACTATGCTCAGTGAAAATCCAGCGAGGGTCATGGTGTGCATGAGGTCTGTCGATGCTAAGAGTATATCGGTACAGCAGTGGAACAGCTACTGGGGTATTCTTGGATTTCCATCCGCACCTACTATTGATGGGGTCTTCCTGCCCAAGCATCCTATTGATCTTCTGAAGGAGGCGGATTTCGAGGATACGGAGATACTTATTGGGAATAACCAGAATGAGGGTGAGTGCAGGTTATTTTAGGGGGATCGGGAGCGACGGGTGGGGAGTGAGGAAGGTTTAAATGGCGAAATGAGTAGAGGAATGAGAGAGGAGAGCCAAATTGAAGCGAACGTTTGAGTCTTATGACGGCTTTGGTCCGCTCACAAACGTTCTTAACGGTCAGACGATCTTGAGATCTGTCAAAGGTTTTTGGGGGCCAGAAAGAAGAGACGGGTGAAATAATCAGGAAGGTTATGAGTGGTTTTGAGGGTCAAACGGGACAAAACGAAGCGATCGTTTGCGCCTTACGATCGTTTCTGTTGATTTTCAAGCGGTTTCAAAGCTCAAACGATCTTGAGACGTGTCATACGTTTATAACTATCAGAAAGGAGAGAAAAATGATATAACGAGGAACGTGAAATGGTTATGAGGGTCAATCGGGTCAAAAGAAGTGATCGCTTGAGCTTTACGGTAGCTTCGGTCGGTTCTCAAACGTTCGTCAGGGTCAAATAGAGAGTCGAGCAAACATATTGTATGGGACAAATGTGTGACGAAGAATCAGACGAGAGCGATGAACTCTCTCAGAGAGCGAACTGACGATGCGGATAGAATGGGTCGAAGAGCAGCGATCATTCGAGACTTACGATCGTTCTGGTCAACTCTCAAAAGTTCGTCTGGGTCAAACGGAGAATCAAGCAAAGAGATTTTATGAGCCAAACGATGTTTCCTTCTGACCTTTGGAATCATTCTGCTCGTCTATCCCTTCTCTCCCGCCCATTCCCAAAAAATCTGTGACCTTTCTGATTATTCCGAGAGTTGATGCAATTAATCAGTGAAGTGAATCCGGATAAAATGAATTCATTTGACTCTTCAAGACTCTTCAAGTGTGTTCTCAAACCTTTTTGCCAATTTTTATGAATACGACAACGCATCCGCTTTCTATCCAACTTTTCTCTCCGTGTAATCAGCATCGCTGACCTCAAGTCAGTCTTCAACTTAATTAGTTAGAAGAGATTCTCAAGACTGTCTTAGACGTTTAAAACTCTCTTCGATCCGTCCATTTGATGGAGCGATTGGGGTAACTAAAAAAAATAGAATTACATGGTTGCCTGGTTAAGCAGGTTATACCGCTTCGTCGTTGATGCAGCAGGCGTGCTATTAGCTTGATGACAGGCTCCATTAAAATTACCTATCCCAGGGAATTAATTCATGCGTGGTTATAGACTGAGGGTACGCGCAAACACCAGTTGGATGCACACACCAGGGGTCATAGTTTACTTGCCTTGGCACAGCTAGGTGGATTAATTCGGCTTACCCCTGGACCCAATAGCCAAGGGAAGGCAGGTATCCAATCTCTTTTGTACTCTGAGAATCTCATTAGCTGCAGTCTTACCTACACTCGTTCACCACCACTTCTGGTTTTCAGATAACTGATCAGGCTGCACTGATAGAAGGACTTAGTTGCTGTTAGCGAGGCTTTTTAGCTGTTAACACGATTCGTTGATAATTAACGAAGGGTATTAATAGCTAATAAGCCTCTTTAGCTGCAACCAAATAGTTCGACCTTTTCTATCAGTGAGTCAAGCCTCGGGAGAGCAAAAAAATAATCGTAGCTTCCCACGGATGGTGGTTTCATTGGAATATCGGGGTCTCGGGGGATAGGGCGTTGCTTAAACCGAGAGTGAAATTCGATCACAGTTGAGAGATAACGCCAATCACCGTGGAGATCATCATAAGAATGTTGGAAGGGGGACTTGATGCCACTCTGCGCTATAGCTATTCTGGGATGTTATAACACTCTCTACACTGTCCTCAAGCGCTCCAACAACTTGTTCTCGTCGTTTTTACCCTCTCAAGCCTCCGGCATTATCACCGGAGATCACTCGGGATTTTAAATTCGCCTCGATGATGGTGACGACGATCAATACACGAGTTTTATCAGGATTCTGTTTTAACAATATTTTGAGGTGATTCAAGGGGCATTTACTCGTACGGTTGAGTAGAGGAGCCGGTGCACGCACCGCCCAGCTAAGGAGTCATAATTTTTTTCACATCCAAGAGCGTAACTCTGAAAAAAACATTATTCTGAAGTCTTCTTCTACTATTCATCTTGATATTCTCCAATTAGAAAGCATGAATTACTCGTAGAATTCACTGGATTGTCGAGGAAGTAATAATGAAAGAAAATTATGCGCAAAACGACCATTCGGAATCTGTTTTCCCTTGAATCGAATTCAGTGTCGCTTTCTAACAAAATTGAACTTTCATGGGCATGTGGCTTGTAATTCTGGTGAGAGTGACGTTGAAGTCAATTTATAGTGAAAAAATTATGAAATTTCAGATTTAATTGAAAATTTGATGAAATTCAGCCAAATTACACTAAATCTTCAATTAATTGACAATTCAAGAGAACATTTACCGGAATTTTCCTGATTTCTATGAATTTTCATGGAATAACTGAACTGAAATCTACACTGTTGGAAAAAAAATGGAATTTCATGGACAGTTGATTATTAATTTTCAGGAATGTGACACTCAATGTGATTTAGGGGAAAAAAATCATGAAATTTCGGGTTTCAGTGAAAATTCTGTAAAATTTCAGAATTTTAATCAGCATGAAAACGAGAATTCCTTCATTTATTTGAATTTCTAATCTAATACGAATATTCAGTGCCACATTACATTGAATTTTCAGTGAAATCTGAAATTTCATGATTGTTTTCCCCCTAAATCGCATTCATTGACACTGTCCTGAAAATTCAAGAATATATTTACCGGAATTTTCTGGTTTTCTATTCATTTTCAGGAAAAAATGGAACTGAAATTTACAGTTCTCTTTGATTTTTCCACGAAATTGTGAATTTTTAATGACGAAATCTCTTGAAATTTCAGTGGTAATTAAATTCGAGAAAAATGAACAAAAAGTGTAGCGGAAATTTCACCCAAAAGTTTTTAACCGTGTAATTTACAGGAAATCGACGTTGAATGGCGAATTTTCAGATTTTATCTTGTAATTTTGACATTTTCCTGTCCGCAAAGACGTCACTTCATTCTGCTAACTGCAGCTGACGGAACAAATCAATAAGCATTAATGGAATTCCTCGTTTAATTCAATATGAGAATCATCTGGTGTATCGACCGTGAGCCACTCCAAGGATATTCTTAGCTACTGAAGCTGACTAAAAGAGGAGCAAAGCAGATAACCGAGATAAAATGTATAATAAAAATTCACAAAGTATTGAAGATCAGCAGTGACCCGGGGTAGCGGTACGAGAGATCCAGTTGAATGAGCAAGAGTGGGATAAGAGACACGGCTTTAGGAAGAGAAAAATGTGCCGGATGGCCTTTGATGGTATCTTTCCTCACCGGTGCTTCCTGCTTCCCAGCTACAACATTTCTACCTCGATGCATTACGCCCACATACTCACTCTATCTACTGGGCTCTGCAGTGACATTTCCAGCTGATTTAGAAGAGAATTCAATTTCCTGAGCGAGAGGCAATTAGCTGGGGTTTTCCACTGTTATAACCGTCACCCAATCGTGCCTTTTTATTAACCGTTTCTGTATGATTTTTCAGCTTTTTTTTCCTGTCTTTGTGGAAGCTTCGCGCTTCAATTCATTTCATTGGGGATCGATCCGTCGACTTTGTTCTCGTTTTGGGAATTCGGGGGGAGTTTTTGTACTGCTGTGATTCTTCTTGTTTTGGAGGATGATGGAGTTAAAGGCTGTGAGGATTGTGATTCCAAGTGAAAGAAAATTTCATCTCAAATTTCGAGTATTCCGGTCGAATAATTTCACTTATGAAAAAATTCAATAGAAAACCTGAGCGAGTCCGCTAGAAAATTCTATTGACATTCTCTAGAAATTCTGTAGGAATTCTGTTAAAATTCTAGGAAATTCTCGCTAAAATTCTATTTGTTTTTTGCGCAAATTCTATTAAATATCTGATAGGAAAAAGTCAGTAGATGTCGATTTTCCTGTTTGAATTTTTCTCTTGAGGTTTTTTCTATTAAAATTATTGGGCACGCAATTTCTAATTTTTTTTCCGCTATATTTTGTTTTGTTCTGCATTATGGGTCCGAATAAAAAAAACTTAGAAAATTTATGCCCAAGTGTTTTTATAAAAAAAAATTCCACGAGAATATTCGTGTAGAAAAATCGACATCCATTGACTTTTTCCTATCAAATATTTTATAGAATCGGCACAAAAAACAAATAGAATTTTGACGAGAATACCCTAGAATTTTAATAGAATATCAATACATTTTTTTTAGCGAATTCGTTAAGTTTGTCGAGAGACAACGGCTAAATTATTCTAGTTATGTACCGTTCAAGCGGTTCTCAGGTTTTCCAAGGATTTGAATTTTCCAATTTCAATCAAATCTCCATAATTTTCGGATTTGTTCAACGGAAAAAATTCAGTCAATCATTTATTAAACAGGTATAGGCTAGAGCAGAATTACCAGAGATTTTTTTTACGTCTTCACAGGTCTTCATAGGGTAAAAAAGTAGTCCGCAGAGTCGGAGGACAACTCAAGGTTCGAAAGGTCTTCAAAAAAGTCGATCGAAGGCCAGAATAGTATATTTTGTTTTAGTAAAAGTTAGTAAAAGTTTTTTTTGGGCTAATGACGAAATATAATTTCGTCAGGTTTCTTGTTTTTTAGTTTAGTAGCGTTGATACTATTTCGTCATTAGGCCGAAAAAAACTTTTCTGGCGAATATGAGGTTTGCAGCACGAGCCGAAGGCCAGGGCTGCAATCATATTCCTCAGAAAAGTTTTTTGAAACTCTTCCCGAGGTAAACCAGAACGGAATATGTGACTCGGGAATATTTATGGCACTGTTCAACACCAATTAATTGAAATACAATTTTGCGATTCTAATTTCACATGACAGTAAAAATCACTGGAAGTCATGAGAATTCAATCCACAATTATATTCAATTTTCAGAATGACTTTGAAAAATGCAGTTGCCACCGAAATATTCACATCGCCTCCAAGTGAAACAACTCAATCTTCTTAA